GCGCTTCCAAGCTTGCCCACAGTCGGCGCGGCCCCTACGGCAGGCGTTGCGGCTGCAGTTCGCGACAGCCTTGGCGCCAGGCCCCCAGCCCTTGGGAGTGCACGAGGTGGTCTTAAGCAGGATTCAGCACGTTGTCATCGATGTACCAGGCGTGAATTGTGGGCTTCGCGTCTTCTATGTTACCTCGTTACGGGCGAGGGAGCAGGCGGGCGCACTGGCTGCATGTTGCAAGAGCTTGGGCTGGCAGCTGAGGTCCTGGATGGCCCCGCCATCATTGGTGGTGATTGGAACATGCCGCCAGCGGAGCTTGAAGCCAGCCAGTTCCTTTCTCGCGTTGGTTGCTCTACGGTGTGCACCACCAAAGGTGCGTTCAGAGGAGGCACTGGCAACTCGGTCATTGATGTCTTCCTCCTCAACTCGGCGGTCGCAAAGATGCACTCCAGAGTCAGCTGCCACGCCAAGTGGTCCAAACGAGGCCACCGCCCAGTGAAGGTAGCACTGAAAGGCGACGCCGAGCACGTCAAGAAGCTGGTAGACACTGTCGCGCCTAGGATGCGCACGCAAGCCATTGCCGGCCCTCAGTTGCCGTCGCCGCCGCGGGATGTTGCGCAATGTGTTGCTGGGGCCGCGGCGACGGCCTGCGCCGATGAGAGCGTCGCCCCCGGTGTTGGCTGAGGTCTACCGTCTTCTGCCTAGGGCCACTTTGCAGCGCGAGCTGCTAAGTCCATCGCGGCCGCAGTCGGCCACGCGGACTGCAATGCCACAGCCTTTGCACGGCCACTTCGGCCCAGATGGATGAATCTCTGTTACACTAGCAAAGATCAGCCGGACTTGCAGGCGGCCTCCGAGGTCTGGCAGCGGTTGCGCTCAAGCGGCCTGCACGGCCCTACCCTCAGGACATGGCCCAGCATGCAGGAGAGGTCCTCACGTCCGCCACGACTGTCTGCCACGGGCTTGGCCTGTCGACGCGGCTCGACCGCCTCGCGCAGCAGGCGCGCGCCCTGGCGCAGGCTGGTTTCAACGAGGAGACCCGCCGCGAGCTCTTGGACGACATCGAGCCCGACGTCAAGCTCGTACCGAGTGGCGCCTCCAAAGAGGACCACCAGAAGTGGAAGGACTGGCGCGCGATGGCTGTGTCGAGGGGCGCGCGAGTCCCCCGCCACACTACCAAGTTCCGCCGTGTAGCGCAGCCTACGGTGGTCGGCACCGCTCGCGGGCCGTCTGTCCATGTTCACGACGCAGCGCGGCATGAGGTTGAGCTGTATAGGAAGTTGAGGTGAAAATCACGTCCTGTGCCAGCGTGGATTCCTGGCCGCTCTGCGCTGCAGAGGACGACTGCCACAGATATCCGCGCCGTCGCTCAGTCGTTTTCTTCTACTACCACTGCTGCGCCTGATAACTCCCACCCCCGCCATCTCCAGTCGTTGGGCGGTCAGGCGCTTGAGGTAGTAGGTTTGCTCTTTTCAGCGGTGGAGCCACCTGGCCCCCCGCCAAGACAGCTACGTTGGCTCGTCACCCCCATGCTCCCCGAGACGTCGGGCACGGGCAATCGGCCGGTGGTGCTCCATGCTGGGCTCTTCCGAATCTGGCGGCCGAAGGTGAGGCGGACCAGCGGCAGGCTTATCACGGCACGCTGGTCGTGGCTGACTCCAGCAAGGACTGCGAACAGATTCCTCTGGACAGGATACGGGGCGAGTTCCTCAGTTTCCACGCGCCGACGTCCTTCTTCAAGTTAATGTACAATATGTGGCGCTCATCACGGGTCTTGCGTCTCAGCGGTCACCATGCGGGCGAGCCGCTTTGTGCAGCTCGTGGTCTCCCTGCGGGTGACGCGTTCAGCGATGTTGCGGTCAAAATTTGGCACGTTCGTGGGTGCGATAATTTTCTGGGCAGGCAGCCGTACATACAGCTTGTCAGCAACATAGATGACACTTCCATCCGCGTGGTACCCACTGCTGTTTGCACCGCCCCCTCCATGATGGTGGCGGCCATGGTTGACTTCAGGCGCGCTGTGGATGTGCTTGATGAGGTTGTCAACGACAAGCTCGTGATTGCGGGTACCAGCCTCTCTCTCGCGCAGGACATCGCGAGCGCGCTCGGGCCCCCAGCTTCAGATGCCCGGCGCAGCGCTGTCTACGTCGGGGTCGACGTCAATGAGGGCCGACGCCGCAAGGAGAAGGGCGCGCTCAGCAAGCGGGCGAGGCGTCGTCCGCACATAGTGAAGCGCACGTGGAAGCCCAAGCGCTTCGGCAAGGTCATCACTCGCCACAAGGCCAAGTCCATCGGCGCAGTCATCCGCGCTGATGCCATGGCCGAGGCCTACGGAAGCGAGGTCGTCGGCCTCAGCAACGCGGAGTGGCTCCAGTGCCGTCGGGACGTGACGCGAGGCCAGCTCCCCGCGCATGGCAATGAGAGCCTCGCCAGCAAAGCCGCGCTGCATGGCGTTGGGCAGGGGCGTCAGCCATCGCGCCTGCGATCCAGTGGTGCAGGATGCTGTGGCAGGCCGAGGCATGCAACCACCCGCCGGCCACTCGCGCGCGGCTGCTTCGGCTTTGGCGCGACGCCAAGCCCTGTGAGGCCAAGGACTGGCCTTTCAGTCGCGGGCCGCTTTCTCGCGCTGTCCTTGCCGTGCGCCGTGCTGGGTGGCGCGCGCTCTCTGCGACTAGCTGGATGGACCACAGGGGTTCCGCCATAGATGTCTGTCGCACGCACCCATGGTACGCTGCATGTCATCATGTTAACAGGAATTCACAGGCAACACGAGCTTTTCTTAGCCGCGCAGCTGGCGGCCCCACAAGGATCGAGGGCCTCGCTCGACGTCGTTCGATCCGTCCTCGGGGCTCGGTCGCATCGGTTTTCTGGTCTCGCGAGGATCTTAATCGGGAGCTGCTCTTGCCGCAGAGTCTGGACCATAGCCCGTGTCCAAGCTGCTGGCTACCTCTGCGACAGTCTCTGTGCGTGTGGTCAATGGCAGACTCTCAAGCATCGCTTGCACGAGTGCACCCTGCCTGGCGTAGTTGCCGCTCGTGCCGAGTCCAAGGTCAGTGCGATGTTGTTGCAGGCTGGCCTCGAGTCAAATGATCCAATATGTGTGCAAGGAGCCTTTGTGCATGATGAAAAGACAGCGCCGCCCCCGTCCTGCACAAACCAGGTGGTCCCCGAAGGCCCCCAAGGGGAGGCTTTAGACGTGGAGGTAGAAGGTGTTGCATCGCTCGCCCAGGGGGCGCGACTTGATGTCGCTCCCGATGGATCGTGCGCGCGACCAGGGTTGCTGTAGCTGGAGCGTGCATCCTGGTCAGTTGCTGTTTTCCCCCTGCATCAGGCGTGCCCGTCGCGATAATGCGCGGGCCTGTGGCTGCATACCTCCCTCAAACGCCGAGCATCGCCGAAAGCGTTGTTCCCTGCTTGATTGGTCAGATCGCCGACCGCGAGACCCTGGTTGGCAGTGGCTGCGTTTCGGCGATCCACCGTTTCCAGCAGCCTGTGTCCAATCAGCTGCGTGCGTCCAACCAGGCGGCAGGTATCCTCAAATTCGGTCGTGGCCTCGAGGGCCACCGTTTCGTCCCAGTGCGCCGAGAGAAGGCTCACCGTTCGCAGGAGCAGATCGGGAGTCTCGGCGCCGAGGCGCGCCAGTGGGCGGACCCCAACAGGACTGCTGGTCATCATGCCAAGCTGGCCTCCAGCTTCCACCCCTCCCACGCACCAGAATGTGTGGCGTCGCCCGATCTCGCGAGGAGTCGGGCTGCCGATGTTGTTGCTCTGGCTGGCGCTGTCCTCCCATGTTTCCTCGATGACAGCCCCCAGCGCTGGCGTCGGCCTGCGGTGCCGAGACGCACAACTAACTTTCGGGGGGAGGGGTGGCACTCGTAGGGGTTGAGCGAACTGGGTTGGCAACGTGTTTTTTGCTTCAAGGTTGCGCCCTCGTGCCGCAATCTGCCGATAAATGGTTGTCTTGGGACCCCGTCGTTCCTGAAGCCCCTCACGGAAGACCCTCTCGGGCACCAGCTGGTTGCCGTGTCGGGTTCGCGCCTCGCTCCCCTGCGCGCCGTGCAGCGCAGTGCCGAGAATAAGGAGGCTGGGCGTGGTTCCCTGCTGTGTGTGAAGTGCGGGGGGCGGAGTCAGGAGAAAGCCATCAAGCTGGCCAGAGCCTGTGCCCCCCCCGACACGCACAGGGCAGATGTTTTTGCCCCGTGTTCGGCGGAGGTTGGCCCCCAACCAGCGGATCCGTGCGTTGATCGAGCGGGCCATCCCCGCCCCTCGCGTCGGAGTGTCGGTCACGTCCGCTCGGGACGTTGTGGCCAGGACCACCGTCGCCAGCAGTGCCAGATATGCGGTGGACAGCGATGTCCCGTGTGAAGCTTGATTGGCCCGCCTCCACAAGCGAGTCCGAGCTCGTGAAGAGGCCCGTCGGAGGACCTAGTGGGGCGGCGTGCACCTGTCGCAAATTCTTCTTCGATGGTGCACCCCCCAATTTTGCATCGGGCTGGCCCCCTCCTCCCTGGACGTCCCTGGGAGCCGTTCATCTAATCTCCTCCTCCTCCTCTTCCTCCTCCTCCTCCTCCTCCTCCTCCTCCTCCTCCTCCTCTTCCTCCTCCTCCTCCTCCCTCCTCCTCCTCCTCCTCCTCCTCCTCCTCCTCCTCCTCCTCCTCCTCCTCCTCCTCCTCCTCTTCTTCATATTATGATTCTTCCTCCTCCTCCTCCTCCTCCTCCTCCTCATCTTCCTCCTCCTCCTCCTGCTCCTCCTCCTCCTCCTCCTCCTCCTCCTCCTCCTCCCAACCCTTGCACCCACACCCTTTTCCGACGGGAGCGCACGAGCGATCCTGCGCGCTGCGCGGAGTCGTCCAAAAGGCCGAAGGGGAGCGCATGTCTGTCGCGAGGCAGGCAGGACTGATTCCCCAGGCGCCTGCACCCTTCCTTTTGCGTTCCCTCCCACCCCCCCATCGTTCCTGCCAGTGTGTGGGAGCGGGGCACGCAGATGCGTTTGCTTACCCTCTTCGCTCCTCGCCCTCTGCCGCAGCTTCCGCCTCGAGCGCCGCCAGCTCGGCGGCCGCTGCTCGGGCGCGCTGGTCGGCAGCGCAGGCTCGCGCCTGTGCCTCCTCCGCCTCCGCGCGCAGCCTGGCCGCCGCCGCCACCGCCGCGTCGCGGCGCCCTCGCGCAGCTGCCAGGCCGCCAGCCCCAGCGCCGCGTGCCGAGGCCACGAGGTCGGCAAAGTCCACAGCCGCGACCTCGGCACGTGGCGGCTCCTCGCCCGGCCCCGCCTGCTCGGCAGGGAGGGGCGCCGCGTGGTCGGCACCCGCAGCGGGCAGCCTGGCCTCGAGGCCGCGGACGGCGGCCACGAGCGCGTCGAGCCGATCGGTGGCCCTGCGCCACTCGCGGGCGGCCTCCCTGCCGACGTGCTCGGCGGCCGCCTCCCTCGCGTGCGCCCGCCGCACCAGCGAGCCGAGAAGGTGCAGGGCGTTCTCCACCTCTGAGGGGCAGCGATAAGAGAGGGGGGATAGGCACACACCCCTGCTTAGAGTCCAAAAAAATCGGAGATTGGAAGATAAACTTCACGCTAATCGTTTTCTGAGGCGGTGGCCCAGGTCCAGATATACGAGAGAGCGTGATCCACCGCCGCTTTACTGTGGAAAATTGCCGCCCTTTTCCTCCGGAACCCGGGGGTCCCCCCCCCCTCCGAAAATCCCCCCCCCCTGCTGGACCCCCCCCCCCTCTCCCCCGGCAAAACACCCCCCCCCTCCCCTCCCCCCCCCCCTCCCACTCTCGAAAACCGGGGGGTCACTACCGGTTCGAACTCCCACCCCTTCCCTCGAAAGCCGGGAGGGGGGGTTCACTACCGGTCCTCCCCACCCACCCCCTCTCACCGCCAGCAAACGACTCCCGGTCCCTACCACCGTCCTCACCACATCCCCCATTGTTGTTTCCAGCACCACTCACCACCAGTCCCCACTGGTTCCACCACCGCCCCTACTGTCCCCACCAGTGCCACCACCACTGTCGCACTGTCCCCACTATCCCCACCACTGTTCCCACCACGGTTCCACTCTCCCAATTTTCTCCACGGCCCCAACCACTGCCCGACTATCCCCACTGTCCCCACTGTCCCACTGACTCTTCCGCTGTCCTACTGAGCTGTCCCACTGTTCCCACCACTGTCCCCACTGTCCCCACCACTGTCCCCACTGTACCTCTGTCCCATTGTCCCACCGCCGTCCTCGCCACCGCCTTCACCACTGTCCCCACCACTGTACCCTCCACTGTCCTACTGTTTCCACCACATTCCCACTGTCCCCACACCACTGTCCCCACCACCACCGTCCCCACCACTGTCCCACTGTCCCCACTGTTCCCACCATTGTCCTCACCATTGTCCCCACCACTACCGTCCCCACCACTGTCCCACTGTCCCCACCACTGTCCCGCTGTCCCCTCACCACTGTCCCCACCACCACCGTCCCCACCACTGTCCGCACCCCCCCTTGGTTTTCGAGGGGGGGGGGTTCGAACCGGTAGTGACCCCCCCGGTTTTCGACTTCGAGGGGGAGGGGGATGGGTTCGAACCGGTAGTGACCCCCCTCGGTTTTCCGGAGGGGGGGGGGGAAGGGGTTCGAACCGGTAGTCACCCCCCCCCTGGTTTTCCGCCAGCAGCGGTAGAACACGCTCTTTCAGATATACGAACACTCTACGAAGAAAGGAGGCTCCAAGAGAACGTCCAGGGTCCAGTCCAGATTCTTGATTTTCTTGAGCGAAATCTGGAGCCCATTAAAGTTGCTGTTTTTCTTCAGATGTCTGATGGGTGTAGGGGAGCCATCGACCTGGAATCGGCGATGCATCGTCGATTGATCGGCGGTTGAACCCAGATGGCAAGTCCGCAGCTTCCTGGGCGGGGTGGGGCCATCAGACCCCCCGTCGGTGACGAATGGGCCACTGGGGGGCGATGCATCCCCCTGTGCCTTTTCCCCACCCGATCGTTGCCCCCGAACCTCCTCCGCGCCCACCCCGTGCTGCAGCGCCCCGGCCAGGGCCCTGCACACCTCCTCCGGCCGCTGCTTCCGCGCGGCCTCCGCCAGCTCGAACCGCGCTGCAGCGCGCGGATCCTGCACCGCCACCGCCACCGCAGCCCCTGCGTGCTTCCCCCCCGCCGCTGGCGCGGCCGCGCCACACCGCGCGCCCCAGTCCACACCTCTCGGAGCAGGGCGAGCTGCGGCAACGGCAGCTCAAGCGCACATGTTCACGGGCTGCGCCCAGCTGTGGCGACGAGGAGGCTCCTCGAAGGCAAACTGCCGTCGCCTCAGCTCGCCCTCCTCTGACGCTCGGGGCGACCCCGCGCCTGAGGCCGCCTCCGCCGCGAGGGCGGCGGGCGGCGGCGGCAGCGACGCCCGGCGCTCGGGCGGCGGCGGCGGCGCGGGCGCGGGGCAGGCCGAAGGCGAGTCGCCGCGGCGTGCCGCAAGAAGCGCTGCGGAGCGCCGGCGCCCCGAGCCGCTCCGCCGCCGCTCCCCCCGCGGGTCGCCGACGAGGGCGAGGGCCTCCCCGGCAGGCGGCTCCGCCGAGCCGAGCGAGCGGGCGGCGCCCTCCTCCCCCGAGGCCGCCGCGGCCGCGCGGGCCCTGCGGGACCCGTGGCCGGCGAGCGCCCGCTGGTGCCGCGCCGCGGCGGAGCCGCCGTCGGCCACCGCGGGACCGCTCTCCTCCCCGGACGCGTCGGCGCCAGCGGCGTCGGGCCGCTCGCGGCCGCTGCGCCTCCGCTCCCACCTCGGTCACACGCAAGAGTGACCCTATAGGCAAGAGTGACCTCTGTTGCGCGGCTTCAGAACACCGCGGGAGGCCCAAATCTCTGGCGAAGGGCCACTCTTACGCGCAGCCGGCCACCGCGCGTCGAGGCCGTCCGCCGCCGCGCCAGGCTTCTTCCCCATCGGCGAGGGGCAACGGGCTGCCAGCGCTGGGCAGCAGCCTCGGCAGAGGCTGCCTCTGCCGTGAGGCCGCTCGCAGGCCCAGCCAAGGCGGGCGCCAGCCGCGGCCTCCAGCCTCGGCCGCCAGGTCTAGCTTCGGCTCGATCCGCAGCTTCGGCTCGATCTGCAGCTCCAAACTCTGGCTCGATCTCCAGCTGCAGGAAAGATGGGAGGACAGGGACGCCTCACCGCGCCGAGTCGCTGGGCCAGAATGGTTGCGAACCTTCCTCCTCCTCCTCCTCCTCCTCCTCCTCGCCCTCCTCCTCCTCCTCCTCCTCCTCCTCCTCC